ACTTTCCGCCCGCCGCAGTATACCCCATATTCTATCTACTTAAGGGGGGGCTGTATATGGGATTCTTACATGGGACCATTTTTTCATTCCCTACTAAGCACCAGCCATGTCATGAGTGTTGGCACATGGGCGCCCTTTTTATTTGAATAATATCCCAAGCGATCCAGATAGCCCAACGTAGGCAATATTTACAGACTTTAGGGCCCAATGTAGGTACTATTTGTATACTTGAATCCCCCCTAATATAGCACCAACTTCCATGTTCTTTTCCACTTGATTCTCCATTATAACCCCTATATACCCCCTATGTAACCCCCTATAATCCCCGTAGTTTCCATGTTTCGCGCCTGTCTAGGTGCGGAGGTGGCCGTCCTTGAAATTGTTGAAGTCGCTGACCTCAACCTTGTGCAGCGGCCCTGGGCTTGCGCAGGGCCATGGGCCTATAGTCCCCCGTGAGTAGATGGAATATGGGGCTTAGCTTTTAGGGGTTATAGTTCCCCTTAAGCAGATAGAACATGGGACATATGGGTATCTTATTATGATACACCCAAAGCCATATTCTACCTACTTAACCGGGACTGTTTATACCACCGGGGAAGTTAAGATGAAATGGTTCTTTCCCCCGCATCAGCAATGCGGCCGCCCTACCTTTAGTATGATGAATACATGTTAGCAGCTAGCAGCATGGTTCAACAAGAGATATGTCAGAGTTGGCGGGGTCATTTACAGTCATAATATTAGCTATAGTCTAAACTCCTAGTATCCCCCTTTATAACACTTATAATAGTCGGTGGTGATGATGGTGATAGGAATGGTGGTGAGGGCGGCGGTGGTGGAGGTTGTGGCGGCAACGCTCTAGGCTCTAAGGCTCCAAGTCATGCCCTAGGGATCCAAATAGCCCAATGTAGGAGATATTTACAGACTTTAGGGCCCAATGTAGGTATTATTTGTATACTTGGATCCCTATATAGCTCCTATATAACCCCAGTTTCCATTTCATTTTCCACATTCTTTTCCATGTGATTTTCCATTATTGGCATTATTTGTATACTTGGATCCCTATATAACCCCTATAAAACCCTATAAAACCCTATGTAACCCCTATGTACCCCCTATGTAACCCGGATAGTTTTAGGTCATGGCTCTGACCAAGGTGTGGTCGCATTGAAGAGCCTTCAGGCTGGATTCAGCTGATGGACGTCGCGAACGGCCTCTGCCATGCAGTTGCCAAGGAACTTGGGCATCTAGAAGAGTGGTTGTCAAACTTATAGTCCCTTTTTGGGTACCCTAAATTTTAGGTGCCGTATTATAATGGGGACCCAAAAAGGAAACAAAATTTTGACAACCACTCAGAAGTTTGCCATCTGCTTTCCTACTTGCAGCCAGCGCTAGGGTAATCCCAATGTTGCAGGTATCACCATAACTGCTATGTAATGGTTGTTGGTACATGAGACACTGCATCCTGAACCCTAAACACCCCATAATTCAGATGAGCCTGGAGAGTTGTGGGTTGCTGGTCCTGTTTTCGGAGCTGGCTTCCATGAACAGTGCTACGATCCGGCCCGGAGTAATGGTTGCTGTTGAGAATTAAATTCTTGCATGACCTTGGTCTTCTGTAGTACCATGATTCCTTAGACATAAGTTGCTTAATTAGGGCATGCAGGATTTTTTAGTACTCACCGTACAAGACTCTTTCCTCCTATTCCATGAAGAAGTCCAGTATACTGAGGCTTCATTCAGGCCCCTATTGTATTTCCCTAGCTCTTTGTTGAACACCAGGACTTCGAAACAAAGATGGACGTTGCCGCGGAAGAGGGGGCCTTCGACGTGGGTCTGTATGTGCTCCGCCAGACTGCCTTTGTTGCCCCCGATGCGGAGAACTTCGATCCCAATGATGAGGAGTGCTCTTTACCCGAAACTTGCTCGCTGGGCCAGTCGTATTGCGTCTTTTTAACCACGTTAACCAGCCAGAAGCTAAACATGCCCTGGTGAGGAGCTAGTTGATGAGCTGGACGTGGCTTGTCTTCCAATCCTCCGCTGTAAACCTTTCCGCCAGCAAAAGCTTGATTCAGATGCAGCGGGTGTGATTCATCATGCAAAGCAATTGCAGTCACAGAGGAGCAGCCCCTGGTTCAACGCGACCGCATATGTGCACTGCAAGAAAAGGATCGAAGGGAAAATGTTAAAGATGCAGTGGTGACCCCATAATGCTGATCAGAACAACGGGTAAAACCAACGTGCAATTGTACATGATCTTCATGCTGCAATCATGATACCGGCGCTGTTATTGGCACTATTCGCAACAATATTGCCATCATGGTAATTGCTGGTAACTTTTGTGCTTGCTGTTCGTGAGGCTCCATACCATGCTGCGCCCAGGAAGGCTTTATTGTCCGGATCGACGAAGTTGTCAACTTCCCCGATGCAGAGCGCGTGTGCCTGCCTCAGAGTGATGTGCCTGTGGTTACGGTAGTTCTTTGTCCCATCCACTGTGTGCATGAGCTCATAGGGATATAAGTACCCTCAACCTCCAAGTGCTGGTTGAAAGATCTTTGAAAGGACATCTTTGTTCAGCAATCTGGATCCCTTTGTCCTGTTACACATGCCCTTCGAAGCTAAAAACCCTGGACCTCTAGCATACCCACCAAACCTTTTTTGTGGAGGCGAGCTCACCCTAAACCCTACAACCCTAAACTCTTAAACCCTAAAACCCCTCAACCCTAAAAATCCCAAACCCCTAATCCCTCAAACCGTTTTTGTGGAGGCGAGCTCACTTGCAAGAGCCCAGTGGCTGGATCACGTTGGTAAACACCGCCACTGGTAGTCGCTGGGCTACCAAGGCCCAGGGGCGCTTAGGGTTTAGGGTTTAGGATTTTAGGGTTTAGGGTTTCAGGATTTTAGGGTTTAGGATTTTAGGGTTTAGGATTTTAGGGTTTAGGATGTATAGGGTTTAGGGTTTAGGGAGCGTTTTAGAATAGGTGATTTGAGCCTAAAGTTGCGAGTTCAGGGCTTATGGCTAAGGGTTTAGGGAGAAGAGGTTCATCTGGGAGATTTAGGGGCTAGCTTTCTGGTGCTTAAATCTGCTAACCCTAAATCCTGAATCCTAAGCCCTAAACCCTAATTTGGTACTTGTTGTGGCTTCTATCCGAAACTCTGAAACGATGCAGGCCAGAGCAACCATCCATGCAAGCAGGGAGGGTTGAAGGCACAGCACCCCGTAGTTCTAGAGGGTTATAATGGGTCTGGGTCATACAGGGTTATATGAGCTATAGTCTAAACTCTTTAAAGGGGGTCATATAGGGGATTATAGGGGTATATTATAGGAGTTATTAAGGGGGATACTAGGAGTTTAGACAGTAGCTCATATAGGGTTATACAGGGTTCTGTAGGGATATGTGGTGCAGTGCTGGCCAGCCCCCCCCCCACCCCCCCACCCAATGGTATGGTGTTGGTATAGTGTCCCACAGTTGCCAGCAGTCTGGTACGTGACTGTCACCTTGTGGCAGCAAGACCTGCTTGTTTGACATGTCAGGCAGATCCTCCTCCTCCTCCTCCCCTGTGGTTTGGTGCGTTTGCTTTCTTCCATGACTGTCATGTAATTCAGATCTTTCACCCCCTGCCCCCCCCTGTGGTGTGGTGGGTGTGCTTTCTCACAAAACTGTC